TGGCGGGCGCGCCGTGCGCCGCCGACGGCTATACGCCGTCTCTCGGCCGCAACACCTATTCCTTCGGCAACTTCTGAACTACTCAACATGAACATTAATATGAAGCAATTTTGGACCTAACCACACGGATGAACATGATTTATTCTGAACTTGCCAAAACATGGATCGCGGCCGCCCGTGGCTACACGCGGTAGGCGCGAGCGACGGCTTTGGCCAATTGATCGACAAACTCCAACTTTTATCGACCAATCTGAACTTACTGAACATGAACTTAGTTAACATGAACATTTAAATGATAATGGTTCGAGAGTTGCCGGAAGAATTCGAAACTTGTTCGGTGATGACCTTACTTAGGCGCATTCGGACTTAGGCACGATTTTTCTAAAAATTTTCGAATATGAAATGAACCATAAACCTTAACATGACTTACTCAAGATGGCTGTAAACTGAGGGGAGAATTACCTCTCTGATCGCTCGACGGAAAACGGAAAATAGTCGTGCTACTCGTCCTTGCGTGCGCAGTGCGATTGTGCTTCCTTTGCCGTGCGATTAAATGGAAAGTTTAGGAAAAGAAACAGGTTGAACTTGCTGTTGCTGAAAGGCTTAGTATGTGCTGAATTTGTATTGAGGAAAAGTGGGAAAAATTTCACTCATCTCCTCTTTTTATATGCACGGCCGAATGGGGATGGTGTGATGTGTAGGGAACGTGGCCTATTTCATGCTTGCCACTTGCTTCTATTTGGGAGGATTAGATGATGACTAAGTAGCTTCTCTTCTTGACAAGTGGCATAGATTACAAGGATGAAATTTCATTTCCCTTTGGCTAAGGAAAGCTTCGGCTTTTGAAGAAAATTGAGGCCAATTTAGCTACATATCTCACGGCCTTTTAAGCTTAATTTAGGATTAATACTAATTAATCACTTATCTTATGTTTAATTATTTAATTAAACATAATGCTTAATTACCAAAATTATTTCGAACGTAAACGGTACGTCGAAAATAGATTTCGGTAATCCCGACTGAAAATAATTAATTCCGACATTAATAAACGATAACATTATTATATCGGAATTAAAACGTAATTTATACCGATAAAATATCGGGATATTACAACAGCGACCAGAGCAGCAGCCTCAACAGCCGCAACAACAGCAACAACAACGTCCGCTACAACCTCAGCCGCCGAAGCAGCCAGGGCAAACTTCACAGCCACCCCTTGAAAAGAACACTCAGCAAAAATCCATTTCTTCCTCAGCCGCCAAATCTTCGACCTCCTCCAAGGTCGACGATCGTCAGAAGGTTGCCGACCGCCAACACAAATCTGACGACCGCCAAAAGACTACTGATCGTCAATATTAGGCCGACGACCACTCGCAAAGAACTGAAGACCGCCAAAGGATCGACAACCGTCAAAAGATCGATCATCGAGCTCCCAATCCCAAAGACTCCACTTCTTCCAAAATCATGGACAAATCTTCCGAGCCCCCCTCCTCATCCAAGACCCAAACTTTAGAAAAGTCTCCTCTCGACCAACAATCCCTCAAGACCCAATCTGCTGGCTCGACCAAGGCACTGGTCGAGTCCAGCAGTAAAGTTGATACAGGGCGCGAGACGGTGCTAGGTAAACGGTCCCGCACCGATCAGGGTGCGGTCGTCTGAAAGCGGAGGCGCGACAGTTATCTTCCTCCTGACACCCTTGCCCCGAAGCCGACGTCCTTGATGTCGGCGTCTGTGAATGAGGTGGCCGACCGCCTCGAGGGTGTTCTCCTCGAGGACGATCGTAAAAAGCTTGGCCCGACACTGCCTGAATTTGGGGATCAGTTCGTTCAGTGGCTTGCCCAGGTATTGTCTTCCTCGCGTTTTTCTGCCTTCTTTCTTATGCTTCAACTGTTACGCAAGCTTTGAACTGTGCCCTCTTCACTGATTACAGGGCTTGGTCCAATTCTTGCCCACAGTGCGAGAGGCTCGCGACAGCTCGGGGAAGTCCCTAAAAAGCCTCGAGAGCACAATTAAGTTCCTGCAGGATAAGAACTCGACTCTCGTAAAGCATAATTCCAAGCTCCGCGAGACCCAAGTGGAGCAGAAGACTGAGTTTGACGTCATGATTCGATCCCTTGATGAAGAGCTCAACAATAAAAGCAAGGCTCTCGCGGAAAGAGACGCTGCCCTCGCAGCTAAGAAGGCGGCAGTAGCGGAAAAGGAAGCTGCGTTGAAGGAGAGAGAGAGCACTCGAGCAGGAGCGAGCTGCCCGGGTCGAGGCAGAAAAGACTCGAGCAGATTTAGAAGCGGCTCGAGCACAAGTAGAGGCTGCTCGGGCCCAAGCGGAGGCTGCTCGAGCAGAGTCAGATGCCACTTTTACGAAGGAAAGGGCTGCCCATGCTCACCAACTCAAGCGCTACGCTGATGCGGCGGCTCTCCGAGCTCGGCAAATGATGTGGGCGACCACCACAGGGCAACTCTTCCTCAAAGAATATCGCTCCCAAACGGTGGCCGATTTCGTGCAGTCGCCACAATATCTGAAGGAGGTTCAAGATTTCGGGGTAGACTGTTTTCAGTTTGCCCTTCAGAAGGCAGGCGAGCAAATCGCTGAGGATGATTTCGAGAAACTCGATCCCTTGGCTATCTGGGACGCCTTACCCAAGGTTCCTCCTAGCTTCCAGGGTGATCCAACCTTGCCACTCGAACATGAGTGATGGTCTGGGTTGCTCGAAAGAACCTTGGCTTGATCAGATATACTCAAGAAGACATATGCCTTGCCCGATGGTCTAACTCCTCCTGCTCATATGTTGGCCGCCTTAGCTGAGTCTATCCGACAGCGTCCTCTCGATGATGCCTGCGATTCCACCTCTAGTATTACTCCTCCTGATCCAAACATTAATTCGAGCAATGCCAACTTTGCTGCTACTCCGCCTCCATAGATTAGTTTGTGTTGTATTTTATTGTTTTCTTTTGAAATCTGTGTATTTTGATGAACTTCGTGGTCTTTCCTTGAAATGGCAATGTTTTATTTGATCTCATTTCTACTTTCAATAACGCTTGTGATTACTTGATCAGATGTATTTATGTAGCTCTTCCATGAGGTAATTGAGATGAATCTTAAATATACGGTCAGCATGTCTATCAGTTTTCAATGTGTATCTTCCCTTTGAGCGTATGCCCACCCTCAAAAGGGGTGGTCGTTACATACGACCATCCAACCTCATGGCCTTAATCATGATGGATTTTTG